CTCATGAACCCGTTCACAAACCAGTTCCAGCCGGCAAAGACGTACATGCCATCGGCGGTGTCGCTCCAGGCGGCGCTGTGCTTTTCTCGGGCTTCGGGGGCCGAGCCGGTGGGGGTCAGGAGCACCCAGCTGTTGGCCTGGCGAGCAGCAGCCCCCGACTCAACAACAGCTTTGGGCCTACTGGTAGCAAACTGAAAAATCGACGAAGTTGAACACCGAAGTGTTTGCCGCGCCCATGCAGCTGATCACGTAGCCGACGTAGCCGAACAGTGACTTGGGCTTACTTTCAGGCTTCGGGCGGCCTTGCGGGTGCCACGACTTCACAAGTGCCCCGTGTACCCCCCGAATCCCCCCAAACCCAAACTGGTTCGGGTTCGGGCTCGGGTTCGGCTAGTTTGTGGGGGGAGGTAATTCCTGAACCACCTACTGTACATCACCGAAATCCTGCTCTCCTTGCTGGGCTATTGGATGCTGCGAAACATCGATAGAAGCAAGATCCTGCTGGCCTGTTGGGTGGACATTCAATGCGTATCCTGCGTCTTGCAGGCAAAACTCTTTTCTGGGATTGTTGGATGGGGAATATGAAGCAGTCGATGGACTCCGATGGACTTTTTGGCCTGGAATGGGCACCCCCCGAGGCGACATGTGTGCAGGAGCGGACGGTGCAGCAGGAAAAGGGGATATTGGGGCTGGACATAGGGGCCACCCAAACCGACTGTCCCCCCCCCCCACTGCTTCCTGCTGCGCTCTGCAGGCCCTGGCCGAGACGGGTCGCGTAGAGTTAAAATGGAAAAAAAAAAACCACGCGAGTCATCCGAGCGTCCAACAAAACTCCTGAATTCAGTGAATTGTTTGCTGCTGACTTGTAGAACTGGCCCTTTTCGCAGGACCACCATTACCGGACTCAGCCGGTGTCATGACAGTTTCCCCTCAATTCATCCAAATGCGTTTCGGAAACTTCGGGTTCATCATGATGCAACACAACTTCAGGAGCGCTGCCTTGTGCTTCCTGTGAGTAGCCCTCTGCAAGGCAAGACTCACGCATTTTGTCTGAACAGCAGCCACAACCCCTACCAAGGAAACAGGAATTTTCGCATCACGGCTCTTCACTTCTGCTACTTTCCCATTCCTTTGAAACTTCACCACCAGCGGAGCCTGGCGGCCGTAGAAGTGGAGGTCGTTGAGGGCACCTCGGGCCAAGTGCCGCGGCGTTTCCACATCCCCAAATAGCCGTTTCCTTCCTCCGGCAAGCAACCAAGGCCGCCACCGGTGGTGTCGTAGCCGCCAAAGACGTACATGCCATCGGCGGCGTCGCTCCAGACAGCGCTGTGCATGTACCGGGCTTCAGGGGCTGAGCCGGTGGGGGTCAGGAGCACCCAGCTGTTGGCCTGGCGAGCAGTCCCCGACTCAACAACAGCTTTGGGCCCACTGGTAGCAAACCGAAAAAAGCGAGGAGGTTGAACACCGAAGTGTTTGCCCCGCCCATGCAGCTGATCACGTAGCCGACAAGCGGCTTCCGACTTCAGCCCAAGACATTTTTCACTTACTCTCAGGCTTCGGGCTTGCGGGTGCCAGGACTTTGGGTGCTCGCATCGGCGCAGTCTAATTTCACTCCATGGCTGAGCAACTCCGTTAGGAAAAGCATGCTGGTGTGCCGACGTGCCTAAAACGAACAACCTCCTGCCCTAATCGTAGAGGGTCCCCGATGTCTTGGATGTGTGGCTTTGCTGCTTCATCTGGGACACGGGTCGAAACTTCATTCAAGGTCGGACTGTACCGGACAAAGTCCTTGAACGGGCCCGTTGCCACGTGCAGCTTTCTCTGTCGAAAGGGGCGGCTTCAGAAATGTGATTTCCGATGCTTCGTGCACCGTCGCTACTCCCCTGTGCCTGCATGATGACAGCTTAGTATAGCGTAGCGACGATGGGACGGTCAAGATGAACGATACCTATATGTGTATATATATATATAAGAGAGAGAGAGAGAGAACAAAAAAAAAAAAGAGAGATGCTTTGCCATATGTGCCTTGCCCTTGCTTTGCCCTTGCAGGGCAGAAACACTCGCAGAAACAATTGCTGGAGCATCTTAGGTTCGGTGGTCTACAGCTGGAAGCAGAGCTGGTTGCTCCAGCTTCATGGCTTGGAAGATCCTCGCTTCACTTCTGCTTAGGTACTTGGGCCTTCCCAACTTCCTCTTTCGCTCCCCTTCAAAAATTCACCACCAGCGGAACCTGGCGGCCGTAGAAGTGGAGGTCATCGAAGAAGCCTCGGGCCAAGCACCACGGTGTTTCTACATCCCCAAATACCCGTTTGCCTCCTCCGGAAAGCGGCCGAGGCACCACTGCTATCCGTGCCGCCAAAGACGTACATGCCATCGGCGGCGTCGCTCCAGACAGCGCTGTGCATTTCCCGGGCCGCGGGGGCCGCGCCGGTGGGGGTCAGGAGCACCCAGCTGTTGGCCTGGCGAGCAGTCCCCGACTCAACAACAGCTTTGGGCCCACTGGTAGCAAACCGAAAAAGCGAGGAGGTTGAACAACGAAGTGCTTGCCCCGCCCATGCAGCTGAGCACGTAGCCGACAAGCGGCTTCCGACTTCAGCCCAAGACATTTTTCACTTACTCTCAGGCTTCGGGCTTGCGGGTGCCAGGACTTTGGGTGCTCGCATCTGCATACCATACCTGACCTGTGGTATTGTACCACACCCTGAAAGCCATTGCCAACGAAGGACTTGACGCTTGGCAGTTCCTGGAGAGCTACCTGCAGCTCTTCCAGTTCCCAAAGGCATGGAGTGTGGCCATCTGCACACCTTTGTTCCACACAAAGATCCTGCACAGCCAGTGAATGCCTGGCACTTCTCCTCCCCCCAGAGGGCACTTTCTCCACACCGTCGCGCAGACTGACAAGTGCAAGAAGGAGTGCCAGGCTTTCTTTGGCATGGCCGAGATCATTGACCAACGCCATGGACGCACCCAGCACCAAGCCACGACCCGGACAAGTTGTTGCAAGCAGCGGAGAAACCCTGCAGTTCTTTCACCCAGGCCAACTTCGCCACAGGGATGATTCGAAAGTGGCACTGGCAGTTGCGCTTGCCAGGCCTGTTGGCCAGAGTGGGTACCACAGAACGAAAGCACAAAAGCTTCGAGCTTTGGAAGAATCCGAACCTTTGGGTGGATATTTTGGACTTTTGCAATTTCGGAAACTCGAGCGGGAGCTCGATTCTTGGATTTTGAGGCTGCCGCTCGAGTTTCCAAAAATCCAAAAGTCCAAAATATCCACCCCAAGGTTTGGATTTTTGGAAACTCGAACGGGAGCTCGATTTTTGGATTTTGAGACTCCCGCTCGAGTTTCCAAGAATCCGAAACTTGGGTTGGGTTTTTTGGGTTTTTGGATTTTTGGAAACTCGAGGAATTTTGGATTGTGGGTCTCCCGCCCCCTTCCTGGACAGACAGGCTCCCGCTCGAGTTTCCAAAAATCCGCAACTTGGGTTGGAGTTTTTGGATTGTTGGAATTTTGGAAACTCGAGCGGGAGCTCGATTTTTGGATTTTGAGGCCCCCGCTCGAGTTTCCAAAAATCCGAAGCTTGGGTTGGGCTTTTTGGTTTTTTGGTTTTTTGGATTTTTGGAAACTCGAGGAATTTTGAAGTGTTGGTCTTCCGCCCCCTTCCTGGACAGACTGGAAATACAATTCCGGGGTCTGTCGTTGGGGGGGGGGGGGGGGGGGTGAATATATATATATATATATATATATACATACATACATACATACATACATATATACATATATATATATATTTATTTATTTATTTATTTACATATATACATATTTGCAAACAACAATGCAAAAACCATGCTCGCACAGTTTTGAAAAAGGTTTGCATACGCTTTGAAACAAGCTTGCACGGCTTAAAACACGGGGAGGGGTTGGGGGGCGGGGAGCGGCGCAGCCCCCGCATTTACAAACACAATGATCGCATGATGGGTTTTAAAAGATTCATATGCTTTGAAGCAAGCTTGCGCAGTTTAAAAACAGCGGGGGTTTGGGGGAGGCGCACCCCCCCCCCCTTTGCAAAAACAGATTCATGTGATTTAAACCAAGCTTGCACGGCTTCAAAAAAAGCGGGGGGTTGGGGGTGGCACAGCACCCCATTTGCAAACACAATGATCGCATGATGGGTTGTTTAAAGGTTCATATGCTTTGATCTTGCACAGCGGGGGTTGGGGGGGGCGCAGCCCCCCGTTGATTCGCACCCCGCCAGGCGACCTCTCTCTCTCCCTCTCTATATATATATATATATATACATACATATAAAGCTTTGCCATATATGCCTCGCCCTTGCTTTGCCTTTCCAGAGCAACACCACTCGCAGAAACACTTGCTGGAGCATTTTAGGTTGAGGTGCTGAGCTGGTTGGTCCAGCTTCATGGCTTGACCCATACCTGAAACAACACTGGAAGAACCTCGCTTGACTTCTGCTTCGGTGCTTCGGCCTTCCCAAGTTCCCCTTTCGCTCCCTTTCAAAATTCACCACCAGCGGAGCCTGGCGGTCGTAGAAGAAGAGGTCATTGGTGGCACCTCGGGCCAAGCGCCGCGGCGTTTCTAGATCCCCAAATACCCGTTTGCCTCCTCCGGAAAGCGGCCGAGGCCACCGCCGACGCCGCCAAAGACGTACATGCCATCGGCGGCGTCGCTCCAGGCGGCGCTGTGGCCGTAGCTGCCTGTGGTCATCAAATAGCCGCCGGGGGCCAGGAGCTCCCAGGTGTTGGCCTAGCGAGCAGCAGCCCCCAACTCAACAACAGCTTGGGCCTACTGGTAGCACACTGAAAAGGCGACGAGGTTGAACACCGACGTGTTTGCCCCGCCCAAGCAACTGATCATGTAGCCGACAAGCGGTTTCCGACACTTCTCTTAGTTGACTTAAGCCCAAGGCAGTTCACTTACTCTCAGGCTTCGGGCGGGCAGCCTGTCGGGTGCCACGACTTTGGGTGCTCACATCTGCGGAGTCTCATTTCACACCGTGGAGTGTTGAGCTACTCCATTCTACTCCGTTTGTAACAACCTCCTTGGGCCTTCCCAACTTCGTCTTTCCTTCCCCTTGAAACTTCTTCACCAGCAGAGCCTGGCGGTCGTAAAAGTGGAGGTCATTGAGGGCACCTCGGGCCAGCGCTGCGGTGTTTCCAAATCCGCAAATAGCCGGCAAGCAACCAAGGCCGCCACCGGTGTTGCTGTCGTAGCCGCCAAAGACGTACATGCCATCGGCGGTGCCGCTCCAGGTGGCGCTGTGGTCGTACCGGGCTGCGGGGGCCGAGCCGCCGGGGACCAGGAGCACCCAGCTGTTGGCCTAGCGAGCAGCAGTCCCCAACTCAACAACAGCTTGGGAATACTGGTAGCAAACTGAAAAAGCGGAGGTTGAACACCGATGTGTTTGCCGCGGAGTCTCATTTCACACCGTCGAGTGTTGAAACGAACAACCTCCTTGGCTTGCCCTTTGAAACTTCTTCACCAGCGGAACCTGGCGGTCGTAGAAGTGGCTGTCGTTGAGGGCACCTCGGGCCAAGCACCGCGGCGTCTCCAAACCGCCAAACAGCCGTTTCCTTCCTCCGGAAAGCGACTGAGGCCACCGCCCCCGTTGCTGTCGGAGCCGCCAAAGACGTACATGCCATCGGCGGCGTCGCTCCAGGCGGCGCTGTGGCCGTTCCGGGCTGTAGGGGCCGAGCCGCCAGGGAGCTGCTCGAACCACTTGTTAACGCTGTCGGCCTGGCGACAGGAAGGCACAGCGTGGCGCAGCGGTGGAAGGTTCGGCTTTTGCCTGCGCCAGAGCCAGGAGCACTTGCGCCCTCAGTGGGGCCGGGGACGAAAGCTCACTAATCATGTAAAGCTGCCATTCAGAATCACATGACCGCGAGCTCAAAGGTGATTCCATTCAAGGTATAGGTGAGCCCCAAACCCAAAGCCCTAAGCCTCCAAGCTGGAACCCTATCCCGAGCCGTGGACTCGGAAACCATGGGGAGGGTTTAGGGTTTGTGTAGTGTGTCGGGCCAACTCAACACAAGCCCACAAGAAGCATGAGCAATAAATCTCCAAGCCCTTCTGTATTTGCTGAAGACAAAGTCTAGGGCTCCAGAACGATAGCGTGAGGATGGCAAACTTACGGTGTGATGCTGGATTACAAACGTGCCCATGCACATGTTGCCTAGAACGACATGGTGGGTCACAAATCTTCGACAAGCCACGCCTGCCCCCGAAGCCGGGGCAAGCCGTGGGTTTCCCTTTTGGGGATCCCTAACCGATGTAGCCTGATATAGCCCTTAGCAAGATGCAAGGCCTCAAAGGGTCGGGCCCAGTCCTGGCACCCCGTTGCACACCCAAGAGGTATGGTGACTACTTGCACCAAGACGGGGGGATTTTCTCCAAACCGTGCGGGAGCTCTGAAGTACCGATTTTGGCATCCTATGTCGGTTTAGGGCTCAGGGTTTGGGGTTAGGGTTTATTGACATCGGTGCATCGGGCCAATTGTTCACATCACAAAATGCTGCCCAGGCAATTTTTCATGAAGGCATGTGAGCGTCTTCATTGAAAAGGCCTCCCAGCGAACACTGTTCAAACAAAATGCTCCAGCGCACCAAGCCCCCAAAACGCCCCCAGAATCTTCCCGGATCGCCCGGACACCTCCCCCGCCCGGAACCCACAAGGACCGCGCGCATCATGAGCATCAGGAGACCTTGGTTTCTCCGAAAAGCGGCTGCCAGGCCTCCAGCGAACGCTGCTCAAAGAAGGCTCCCGCGAACCGAGCCCAAGAACACCGCACCAGCCCGGAATTAGCCTCGATAAGCCGGACGTTAAACGAAAGGCTGCCCTCAAGTTTGAAGGGAGCTTTCGTAATAAGCCTCTGCAATCGCGGAGGGAGGGATGCCAAAGAAAGGTTACTGGGCAAGTTCGTAGGAAACTAGCAATGCCTAGCAGTCTAAAATCTCCAAGCAAAGATCTTTGCATATCATTGCGGCCAAGCAGCACGCAAAACTTCATCGCGAGCCTGTGCCTCCCCGGTGAACTCTTGCAAAAGGAACTTGTGCCAGATGGTGCCACGACTCTCAACAACGCTCGAAACGACTTGATCCTCTTTTTCCGACTGTGTGTCCTCTCACTCCCTCCCTTCCCTCTGACTTCCCTATCCCTCAATCCCTGATCTGAGACTTCGCATGTCGTCGCCTTTCTGAGTAGATCTGCTCGGAGACCTGCATTGAAAGCAGGTCCACCCTACACCTGCGGTCCTGGTGCCTGCCCGTTCCCCCACAATCAGAGGTCATCTTTTGTATTCTCTTCTCTTCTCCTGGCTTGCCCCCTCTTTTCCTTCTCTTGCTCGTATTTGCTCGCTCTTGCGCTCTCCCTCCCATCTGGCCTTGAAATATTGATAAGGCAATGGTAGCCTGATCCCTTGAGCCGCAAAGGCCAGGATGCAAACATGAGCAAAAATGAGGCTGGGCCACTAATGTGGTGAGCTTCTGCTGAAGAACGTAAGTCTCGCATTGCGCTTTCGTAGCTTTCGCTGCGGGAAAAGGGCTCTGCCGCTGTTTTTGCTGTCTGAATTTCGGGGCTCGGCACGGTTTCATGTTCTTTCAGTGGCCCACGTGTTTGTCAAGCAGAAAGTAAGCAAGAGCACTTTTGCTTCAGGCTGGTGCACGTCGAAGATGTTGACTCGGCATCTTCAGTGTACGATGCTTTTTCTGCGTTGCTTTGGCCACAATTGTGAAGTCAAAAGACAACTTGCCGCTACTGCTTGGGGCTTGTACTTGCTGTCCCGCTCCCCATCCTGCCCCGCCCCTCCCCCCATCGACCCGAAGCCAAAAAAACAAAAAACAAAACCCGCAGGTCCCTGCGTCCCTCACAAGCCCTGCAAGAACAACACCCTAGACGTAGCGATCCCGAACCTGTTCCTCTTGGCACAACTGGAGAACCGGGGCTCACGCAAGACCAATGGGCCGACAGAAACTTGCTCGTGCTCTTTCCAGCCCCCAACATGCAAAAAGAAGCTTGTTTTTGTCATCCGCCCGAGAAAAAAGCAGCTGTTTGAGACGAAGTGCATTTCCTCCCCCGCCCCCCAACATCATCATTCTGCATCGATGTCTGGAACGTCTCAGTGTGGCACCCAAAACAAGGCCTCTTGTGCGGACACGAGATATCTGCCCCTGCCAAGATTTTGGGACAGCATGCAAAGAAGAATCCAGTGTTCGATGTTTCTAGCACGCACTCAGCCCCAAGATCATGTTGTGGCAACGCTAGTCACTACGTAGTCCTGTAGTCGTAGGAGGAGCAGTAGCAGTAGCAGCGTGATGAGCGGCACCAGTGACAACGCCACCAGCAATCTAGAGAGTGGAGGATAGTGGAGGGAGCTGCAAGAATGGCATCGTGAAGAAAACAGGGCTTGAGGACTTGAGGATGCTGCTGGGCCACACAATCACAAGTAGGAAAGGGCCCATGCTGCCGTGCTGCCGTGCTGCCCTCAGAGCCGGAACCCACACGACTGGACCAAAGGCTGCCACTCGGAGGCTTTGGCTCGCTCAACTCAAAAAGGCCCGTGTTGCCGCATCTTGCTGAACTTTTTGTCGGGCTTACAACATCTGGCACGTGTGCCCCAGCTGTGATCAATCTATCCTCCGAAAAAAGCAGGTCGAGCCGAGCGCTGGCAGACAGACACTCTTACACAGCCTACAAGCTCTACCCAAGCTGGTGAGCATACTCCAGGGGACTACTACAGCTCCTTCCCAGGATGTTGTGGCTGGGAAGTTGCAACACTGCTACTCCAACTCCAAGATGTCCCGTCTCAGCGTCGCAGTCTCATTTTACGGATCTGGGTTCCTCCACTCCTCACAGAGGATCGCGTGGATGCATGGTTCAACATCCAGAACGAGGCGTTGGCTTTTGGGCTTGGGCTCTGACCTCGGAACACCTGAAGCGATGCTGGAACCACCCTGTTTATTACATCCCAATGGATTCTCTCAAGCACCTGGAAGTGAGGGACGGATTGGGTCACGAAGGCCAGCTGGCGGCCAGAGGCCAATCCAGGTGCGACTCTTCGCCGCACCCCCAAGGTCCTAAAAGGCAATGGGGATTGAGTTGGGTGAAACCTTGCCTGTTGAGCTGGGTGCATCAGCTTCCCAGCTCTTCGAGCTCAGCATCTGCAATTTTCTGTGCAGAGCATTTGGCGTTTCATATGAGAGCAGGATGCCATGACGCATGCGGTGCACGGGGCATCGCGGCATCGTGGAAAGCATAAGCCTTCATTTTCGGTGGCTGCGAGGGTCACCCTGCTGAGAAGGACTGGCCTGGCCAGTTAGGCCTGGATGAGTTCTGTCAGTTCTGTGTTTTCAGGGCACTGATCTGCCCTGCTAGCCTGCGGGGTTGCTTTCCATTGAGACGGCTTTGGGGTTGAACGGGACCTCATCCGTCGGGCCAGGCTTTGTACTTTTGGACTGTCACTACTCGGGCGGCGCTTATGCCCTTTGCAGTTTCTCACCTCAAGGACGCAGCGACTATATTGGTGCTCTGTGCTGAGTTGCAGGGCGAGTGCTTCAGTGCGAGTCTGTGCTTACGGCCTTGACAGTTCAGGGCTACGGATTTACGATTTCAGACTAATTATGGATCACTACTAGAACTATGCGACCATGTTGTAGCATTATTGCAACATCAATGTCCCCCATAACCCTAAACCGAACCATAAACATCCAAAATCCGCCCTGGCTCCAGCTTCTGGTTGACATGGTTCGGGCGGTACCTGAGGGTCATGGAAGTCATGGGTGTCTAGGGTCTAAGAATGAAATTCAGGTTCAGGGATAAATTAATCATCCGAACTATTCCGAACGTTTGTTTTGCACTTGGCCAAACCCTTTCAGGGTATGTCCATGGGTGCACAACCCGGTAATTCTTGAAGAGCCAGCCAGCCACCGACTCAGAACGCTCTCAGAGGCGGTGCAGAAAGCCAGAAAGCCCACAAGTAGTAAGTTAAAGGAGGTGGAGACCTAGCAAACTATAGAAGCCTGGCAAACTAACCATATCGTGACATATAGCAGCGTCCGAGCTTGACCCCTTCAGGATGCTGCATCAAAAAGCCTGGTATACGGTACTGCACTCCGCACAAAGATCTCGCTTTGCACCTGCCAGCCACTGGGGATTGATGCATCTTTTGTCTGCATCTTTGCTGCGGACCTCTCGCGAACTGCAGAAGAATGCCAGAAGAATCATCGGCATAAAGTTATATAAGCTGTATAAAGACATATGATGGAAGCAGTGCTGCTGAGATCTCTGCGCTCGCATATTTGCAACCCAGCAAGGTTCATATAACGCAGAGGCTGGGTTCTCTTTTCGGGTGCAATTACAAGCAGGTGGCCGACTGCAAGGATATGCAAAGCATAGCTATGACTAACTTTGCTGTATTGCTCCCTTCACTCCTCCCTTCACACCTCCCTTATCGGAACAACCCTTACTATTTCTATTGGGAGATAGGGTTGGCCTCACTTTCCAGAGGGATGGACTGAACCCTGCGCCTCCACTTCAGTCTGTTTGCATCGTATGCCAACCCCAAGGTTGGAGACAATCGAAACTTCAAAAGTGACCTGCGCGCGGCATTTTCTGCCATGTCTGCGATTCGTCCGATGACTTCATCGGGCCACAGAGCGCGACCTAGGGGCCAAGATGGATAGATGGGCAAACCTCCTCTGCTGGGAGGTCAGCTCTTCCGGATTGGCTAACGGCCATTCCGCCCCTCCGGGGCAGTTGAAAGGACCATTGAGCTTGGCGAAACCTTCCCCGATGAGCTGGGTGCATCAGCTGGTGTCCCAGGCTCTTCGAGCTCAGCATCTGCAATTTTCTGTGCAGAGCATTTGGCGTTTCATGTGAGAGCAGGATGCCGTGACGCATGCGGGTGCACAGGGCATCGCGGCTGGAAAGCGTAAGCCTTCATTTTCGGTGGCTGCGAGGGTCACCCTGGGACTGGCCTGCCCAGTTAGGCCTGGATGAGTTCTGTCAGTTCTGTGTTTTCAGGGCATTGATCTGCCCTGCCGTCCTGGCTGCTTTCCATTGAGGCGGCTTTGGGGTTGAACGGGACCTCGTCGGGCCTTGTACTGTTGGACTGCCGCTTTGGACTGTCATTGCTCGGGCCGCTCTTACGCCCCGGTGTAGTTGCTCACCGCAAGGACGCTGAGACCATGTCGGTGCTCCGCTCTGAATTGCAGGGCGAGTGCTGCAGTGCGAGCGTGTGCTACGGCTTTGAAGCTCAAGGCTAAGAACGTACGATTTCAGGCTAGTTATGTATCACTACGAAAACTCATGCTACCATGCTTTAGCATTCTTGCCACATCACTGTCCTCCGTAACCCTAAACCGAACCATAAACCTCCAAATCCGCCCTGGCTCCAGCAGTGTTTTAGTCTGGTTGACATGGTTCAGGCAGTACCTCAGGGTCATGAATGAAATTCAGATTCAGGGCTATAAGGCTAGGGTCATAAGAACTCATTAGTCATAACGTTTGTTTTGCACTTGGCAAGACCCTTTTGGGGTATGCCACGGTATGTCCATGCGTGCACAACCCGGCAATTCTTGAGGAGCTAGCCAGCCAGCGACTCAGAGCGCTCTCATAGCAAGCTGCACTAAGCCTGGCTGCATGGTCTATTCGAGTCTATTCCAATCCGCTGAGGACCGTGGGAAGGTGCAAAAAGCCAGAAAGCCCGCAAGCACAGTCATTCAGTCATTAAGTTGAAGGAGATAAAGATTCGAAACACGCTGGACCCCTCTAGTCTAGCAAACTGTAGAACCGGGCATAGGTCCATATCGTAGCATATCGCAGCCTCCGAGCTGGACCCCGGTAGGATGCTGCATCAACAAGCATGCTATAGGGTACCGCATACACTCCGCACAAAGGCCGCCCTGGAAGAAACCTCTCCTGAGACCCCGCTTTGCACTTTGCACCTGCCATGATGGCAGCTCCGTGTTGTGCAGGATAGGAAATATGCAAACGGTAGCTGTTCAGTTTCAGAGGAGACAGGGGTCTGGATTTGGAATGTCTACACTTGTATGACTCTTCGCAGGTAGACATCGACATACCCCCCTTTCACAGAGTGGAACTGTAGGCAAAGGATTCACAACCCTGGAAGGAGCACTGGCCGAACTATCTGCTCGGCGGGATTCTGGTGATGAACATTGACAATTCCGACTGCCGTGCGGCAGGAAACCGTCGAAGGAATTATTGTCTCCATCTGCTTCGCAGATGTGCGACGCCTGTCCACGCTAGATTGCCTGGATTGCCGCATAGTGGTGCTCACAGTGGTGCTTCCCAAGCTTAACTTCCGCCCAGGCAGGGGCAATTTCATACCCTGTGCCGGCTCCACTTCAGGGGCCTTGTTGTGGCTGCGGCTGCGAGGGTCACCCTGCAAGGACTGGGCTGCCTTAGGCCTGGATGAGTTCTGTCAGTTCTGTGTTTTCCGGGCATTGATCTGCCTGCCGTCCTGGCTGCTTTCCATTGAGGCGGCTTTGGGGTTGAGCAGGACCTCGTCGGGCCAGGCTTTGTACTGTTGGACTGCCGCTTTGGACTGTCATTGCTCGGGCCGCTCTTACGCCCCATTGTAGTTGCTCCCCTCAAGGACGCTGAGACCATGTTGGTGCTCCGCTCTGAATTGCAGGGCGAGTGCTGCAGTGCGAGCGTGTGCTACGGCTTTGAAGCTCAAGGCTAAGAACTTACGATTTCAGGCCTCTTTATGCATCACTACGATAACTAATGCTACCATGCTTTAGCATTCTTGCCACATCACTGTCCTCCATAACCCTAAACCGAACCATAAACCTCCAAATTCGCCCTGGCCCCAGCAATGTTTTCGTCTGGTTGACATGGTTCAGGCAGTACCTCAGGGTCATGAAGAATGAAATTCAGATTCAGGGCTATAGGGCTAGGGTCATCATAAGAACCAATTAGTCATAACGTTTGTTTTGCACTTGGCAAGACCCTTCTGGGGTATGTCACGGTATGTCCATGCGTGCACAACCCGGCAATTCTTGAGGAGCTAGCCAGCCAGCGACTCAGAGCGCTCTCATAGCAAGCTGCACTAAGCCTGGCTGCATGGTCTATTCGAGTCTATTCCAATCCGCTGAGGACCGTGGGAAGGTGCAAAAAGCCAGAAAGCCCGCAAGCACAGTCATTCAGTCATTAAGTTGAAGGAGATAAAGATTCGAAGCACGCTGGACCCCTCTAGTCTAGCAAACTGTAGAACCGGGCATAGGTCCATATCGTAGCATATCGCAGCCTCCGAGCTGGACCCCGGTAGGATGCTGCATCAACAAGCATGCTATAGGGTACCGCATACACTCCGCACAAAGGCCGCCCTGGAAGAAACCTCTCCTGAGACCCCGCTTTGCACTTTGCACCTGCCATGATGGCTCCGTGTTGTGCAGGATAGGAAATATGCCACTGGCAGATGCTTCAGAGGAGACTAAACTTGTACCACAAACACAGTCTGCCACAAGCGAATGAAAATAGGAAGATTGCGCATGTTGGTTTTGGCACCAAGGCTTTCAAATGGATTTGATAAAGATGGAACTCTCGTGCTCTGCTTCCTCACTGACATTGCTCGGCATCTCGAGCGTTGCTTCAGCCTCCTTCAGGGCTGATGCGCATGGATTCGTTGCATTCAGAGGACAGCAACAATATGGGAGGGGAGGTTGGGTAGCCCGTGTATCCCTGCCACTTCATTGTCTGTGTTTCGTCGGCGCTGCTCTGTCCATGCTACCGAGGCATCTGTCTTCTTGGCACCGGAGCCCTCTTAAATTGGTTCAGGCTCTGTCGCCTGCCTCCTAGTGGGTCGCCCTCCATTACAGACCATATTTCTCTTCCTATGCTGTCTTCGTGAAGCATTCAAGATGCCTTATCATGCTTTAGGAGCAGTTGCCTCCTGTAGGTCCTTGCAAGCAGCCCGAAAATAAGCGGGCTCCTCGATTGCATGTCTTTCTATGTCTTTCTCTGCCTAGCAGGGCCTAGGATTTCAATGCCTCGAAGTCCTCTACATTCCTCTACAGATCCTAAACGCCTCCTTCTTGTAGCTCCCTCCAAACCAGCAGCGGAATTGCACATTTGTGGCAGAAAATATTACAGGACAGGCTCGCTCTTTTGGGTCACAACTGATAGCACGGATATGCACGGGGGTGGGGGGCGTGGGGGTTAGGTGGCTACCCGGTAGCCTGATTACGCCATTTTATGCCTGCCACTTCATTGTTCTGTCGGCGCTGCTCTGTCAATGCTACCGATGCATCTCTCTTCTTAGCACTGGAGCCCTCTAAAATTGGTTAAGGTCGTCTTTCTCTTCCGATGATGTCTTCGCACCTTTGCCTTCGCTGGGAGCGCAGACGATGCGGGCGATGTGGGCGATGTGGGCGGTGGAGGTGCCTTGCCAAGCATGACCGTCGCAGGCCCACCCATGAGTCCAGTGCTAGACCAAGGACACGTGAAAACTAGCATGTAGCATTCAAGTTGCCGTACCATGCTTCGGAGCCCCCTGGAGCTTCCTAGACGCCTCGATCTGCACTTGCCTCCTCTAAGTCCTTGCAAGCAACCCGAAAACAAGCGGGGTCCCCGATGGCATGTCTTTTTCTGCCTAGAATTTCAGTGCCTAGAAGTCCTCTACAGGTCCCTAAAAGCCTCCTTCTTGTAGCTCCCTCAGCGGAAGTGCACATTTGTGGCAGAAAATAGTGCAGGATATTGCGGGAAAGGCTCTAACAACGGCTAGCACAGCGGGGAGGTTCGGTGACTACCCGGTACCTGCAATTACATTGTTTTGTCGGCGCTGCTCTGTCGATGCTACCGATGCATCTCTCTTCTTAGCACTGGAGCCCTCTAACATTGGCTAAAGTCGTCTTTCTCTTCCTATGATGTCTTCGCACCTTCGCCTTCGCCGGGAGCGTAGACGATGCGGGCGATGTCGGCGATGTGGGCGGTGGAGGTACCTTGCCAAGCATGACCGTCGCAGGCCCACCCGTGAATGCAGCATTAGACCAAGGATGTCTTATGCGCCGACCCCAGGTCGGCGCCAGTCTGAAGCCTTTGTTTTGTCAACCCCGACCCCCAACTCCCTACCCCCTCCCCTGTGTAGGACATGGTATTGGTATTATTTAGGGAAGGCTAAGAATTAAAGAGGCTGCAGCACCTGCCCACCCCTGCCACTGCTCAAACTCCCCCCAAACCCCCCCAAAACCCCCTACCACTTACCCCCAGTCCCGACCTCGATTGCATGTCTGTCTCTGCCGAAAAGTTCAATGCCCTGAAGTCCTCTACAGATCCCTACCAATTTGTTCTAGCAGCCCCTTCCGAACCAGCAGCGGACTTGCACATTTGTGGCAGAAATATTGCGGGACAGGCTCGTTTTGTTGGGCAGCAACGGGTAGCATGGATATGCGCGGGGCGGGGAGGTTATCCAAGGGCAGTTACATGGTCCCTTAGTATGGGCACTTAATTGACCCACGTCAGAACCCTTCACAGAAGCTACAGGACTAGAATAAGGCACCATGTAGCTGCCCTTAGGGGCTAGGTGGCTGTCACCAACCAACGGCACTTTTCAGGCCAACGTACATGTCTTACACTGCTCTCTTGAAGGGGGCGCGCTCCGCTTCAGTACCAAGCGGACGTCAACCGCACTCAACGCAGGTTCAGGGCCGATACTTGGGCGTGTACATGTGTGAACTCTAAGCAACTTGACTGGCTGATATGTTCTTGAAATTCAACATACCCACGCATTATGGCACGCAAAAGCTCCTCGATGTCTGTGGCTTTACAGTGGACCCGTTAAGCGAAATTCGTGTGCCAACGCAGGACAGTTTGGGCCGACGTCCGCACTTGCAGCCTTGTTCTTGTAGTCCAGCAACAGCCAGTCACCAGAAAATAGCTGTAACTAGCCAGAAGATGAAAACCTTTCTCAGAGCACGGCGAGCGACAGGCCCAAAGATGCGAGCAAACTCAGGCAGAGCCTGCCAGCTGTGCCATACCGACTTTGGGGGTGTAGCATCTGCCTGGTTTGGTATAAGCTTGGGGGTTGTTTGGGGTCAAGTATCCTGTCCCAGGACTTGAATTTTGAATAGTATGCTTTGGGTGAAGTAGCTATTGCATGAGCCACTGCCCCTGCCATTTCATTGTTTGTCGGCGCTGCTTTGTCGATGCTGCCGATGCATCTCTCTTCTTAGCAATGGCGCTCTCTGGAGGTCGTTCACGCTCTGTCGTCCGCCTCCGAGGATCCTCCCAGTGCGTCCCCTCCCCACTACAGACCGTCTTGCTCTTCCTATGTCTTCGCACCTCCGCCGGGAGCATGGGCGATGTGGGCGATGTGGGCGGTGTGGGCGGTGTGGGCGATGTGGGTGATGTGGGCGGCGGAGGTGCCTTGCCAAGCATGACCGTCGCAGGTCCACCCGTGAATGCAGCATTAGACCAAGGATGTCTTATAATGCCCACGAGTCCGTTGTAGACCCAGTGGAAGGGCGCCAGGGCCCCTTATAGAGGAAAGCCACAAGAGAAATAGCTCCCCCCCCCCCCCCCCCGCGTCCATCCCAGCATGAAGCATTCAAGATGCTCAGGGGCCTGCCCGGAGCTCCCTAGATGCCTCGCTCTGTAGTTGCCTCCTAGAGGTCCTTGCTTTAGGGTTTAGGGTTTAGGGTTTATTTAGGGTTTAGGGTTTAGGGTTTAGGGTTTAGGCTTTAGGGTTTAGGGTTTAGGGTTTAGGGTTTAGGGTTTAGGGTTTAGGGTTTAGGGTTTAGGGTTTAGGGTTTAGGGTTTAGGGTTTAGGGTTTAGGAGCAACCCGACCATTTTCATGGCTCCTCGATTACATGTGTTTCTCCGCCCAGCGGGGCCTAGGATTTCAATGCCTAGAATCTAGAAGTCCTCTACAGATCCCTAAAAGCCTCCTTCTTGTAGCTCCCTCCGAACCAGGAGCGGAATTGCACTGCGGCCGAAACTAATACGAGAGAGGCTGGTTTGTTTTGGTAGCAATGGACAGTGCGGATTTGCGCCTAAACCCTAAACCCTAAACCCTAAACCCTAAACCCTAAACCCTAAGCCCTAAACCCTAAACCCTAAACCCTAAACCCTAATCTGCTTTCAAGGCGCTAGGGGCTCCATGGTCACGTGGTGGATTTCCTCCCGCTCGACCTCGGAGTCTAGCGCGGCCTATCTGAGTCTCAAAGGATGCTCTGATTTTCGACGGTGCACTGGTGTTGAGGATGCCGGGCCTACAGTGAACATAAACTCCCGGCACCTCTGCGTAGGAGTGCTACTTGTAGCAGTCACACATCTGGTGGTAGATCTACCCGAAATCTACCCCTAAATCATTCTGAAACCCAACCAAGCCGTCCCTCCAACAACGGGTGCCCACGCAAGAAAGCCTGCAATGTCCAATCTAGCATTGGCTTGCGTGCTGACATCAGAAACACCTTGAGTCGAAGAAACCTGTCAGATCAAAATCTCCCAGGTAAGTCTCCAGCGGTGTCTTCCACAAACTCCAGCAGCTTCGACGCCTCTTCTTCTGGGAGCACCGCGAACATCTGCACTGCATTGGTGAAGACATGTGACTCGATCTCCCACTTCTTCTTCTCCTCCACAAGCTTCTTCAGGGACTCTTTCCACTTGTTGGTGACGTCCGCGATTTTGACTTTATCTGGCAACTCTTGGCTCGACGCAGCAAGGGCGCACAGCATGCGGGTAGTCGGGAGCTTCTTGTAAGGGACACGTCGTATGCAAAGATCGTTGAACTCCTGAATTGCCTTTATCGCCGCACCCTTCTGAGTGAAGATATCAAGTCGCAACATCATCGACATCCATCCTCAGATTCCATGCAGTCACAAGCCAACGTAAAAACCAAGATGCCTGCTGAATTCGTCTCGGTGAAAACAGCAGCGTCTAAAACTTGGCTCAGACCCCCGCCCCCCCCCCCCCCGCCCGCCCTGTGCGACCTGCCCAAACCGCTTGGCTTCCTCCAAATCCGATTCCGCGGAGACCCTTCTTTGCCGGCCTTCTGGGACCCCCCCCTTTCAACCCCGAGACACTTCCTGGGACCTGTTATGGGGCCGAGGAGCAGGCTGCCCCCACGTTGGGACAGCCCGGCTGCCGACACGGCGCCCGCGCAAGCGTTTACAATTGCCGAGCATTGCTGCAAGGCGCGAGGCCTTCCTGCTTAGCACACGTATCAGGATCATGGCAGGGTGCTGGGAAAATCGGACCTTCTGCCGCATGACCTGTGGCTTAAGCTTTCTGCTGCCTGAGAGCTGCGAAGTCGTGGGATGAGCCTCTCCTTTTTCTCATTGGGTTCCGAGAGGTCTGGCATCGCTTGGTCTGCGGACCAGCAGAACTTGAGCTGCTCATCAGGTTCGAACATTGTCAGCAGCCAATCCACCGATATTTGGGCCACCTTCATCAATTTCTCCTTTGTCGCTTGCACTTTCCGGAAAGTCTTCCGGCCCTCCTGCGGCTTCAAGCAGCTTAGGGCGGTGTAGGGGTGATGCTGGAGGAGTCGCTGCTAAATGGCTGGGAGGCCAACAGGCGTTTCATCCTACTTCTATGGTGGATGCGGTCTGTCCTGTCGTGGGTTCTTCGAGTTTTCCAGCCACTCTCTGTCCATCTGCGTTTCTTGCATTTCTTGCTCCGTGTCCATCTTCAGCTCGTTCGACACGGTGCGAAGGACCTGGGCCAGGAAGTGCAGGCCTGCATAGGCAGCAGCCGCTGCGAGCAAGACAATCAAGAACGTAGCCCAAATCCACACCACGCTGGACGAAGGGAAGAAGATTAGCAACGCAGCGACGGTGCTGAAGAGCACGAAGCGCACGCACAGTAGCACAAACTCCAGAAAGTCGAGGATCTCACTTTGGGGATTGGCATACGGCCTGACCCAGGTGGTGATGCCAAGTTGGATGCCTGGGCCAGGCATGAGAAGCGGGATCTCGACACAGAACCCAGCGGTTGAGAAACCCTGCCTGAGATGATGGGAAACAACAGCAGCTTGGCCTTCACATCATCTGCAACGGAGGTGTAAGCCACCACCAGCATCATGCCAATGTCCGCCCGCTTCACCACCAGATCCCAGTACCAAAAGCGAGGTTCAAATCCTTGAATGAAGTAGCCATACCTCCGGCGATTTTCGTGGTCCTGCCTGTTCTGTCTCAGCAATAAGATCCGGGCAAAGAGGGCCAGTGGCAAGCCAAAGCACCACGTAAAGAGCCCACACAATGACATCGCGGCTAGGGGAACATGATTGTCGCGCAGGCACAACACCTGCAATGTCAGGCTCATGTGGACAGCTGCGCCCACACCACTTCACACAAACGAAGCTACCAGCAGACTCGGGCAGCAGGGCCCTTACTAACAAGGTCAACCTGAGAACCCAAAAACCGTCTGCAGAAGTACTTGTAGCCTAATTGTTTTGCCGCACCGCAGAGCGAGTGCGGAGCTGCGGGTGCTGTTGACCATGACAATCCAGGCAACTCACCGAAAGCGCGATTGCAGTACTAATCTTGTACTACAACTCCGTCTCGCCTGGCGAAACCTCCGCCCCACTGGCGCCGCACAGCATCTCGCGGACCCCGCAAGGGCACCTCCCGACGAAACCTCCGCCCCACCGGCGCCGCACATCGTCTCGCGGACCCCTCTCACGGCTGCATACCCCCGCTCCATTGGTGTCCCCCGACCGCCCGCGCCGCACCCCGAAGTCTTCCCGTCCAACATCCGTCGGTCTTTTCCGTCGAGTGGTCGGCCACGTCTTTTCCGCATTTGCTTGCCGCGCCGCACCCCGTATCATCCGCATCGCGACCCGCCCGTTGAAGACCTAAAGGAGAACCCGGCCCCCGAGGCCCCGAGGGGTTTCTGGGAGAAAAAGAACCCACACTGCAACTGGGAGTTCACAGCATGCGTCAAGCGCTCCACACAGCTGCAGCCAAGCCGCGTCAGGGTGCGGCAGAAGCCGATGAACAGGACTCTTGAGTTCGTCCGTTCTGTCCTCCACCATGGGAGCACAGCGGATCATGTGCAGGAACTTCTCCAACAGCTCCTTGGTGGGCTCAGCAGCCCAACATTGTAACATGCAAGTTCTGGCTTGCAACACCTATGACATTCAAGAGTCGGGCCACAAGGCCATCAGAGTCAACCATATTACCGGCACGCTGTCCCACAGGAGTCGCCGCGGGGGCGGCTCCGGCTTGAAAAGCCCCAGATACATTTCTGGCCTCAAGTGTTTGCATATGGCCTCCTTTATCTTGCAATCGTCTGTCTCTAGCAGCTCCGCTGCGGACACGCCGCTGGCCCCCGTCTCCACTACGGCATGTCGCAACGTTTCCACCTTTGGCCCTTTTGCCAACTTCGTGGGGTCTAGAGCGTCCAGGACGTCGCTCAAGTCCTTCTCCTCCAAAGCTTTCCCTTTCAAGCTCTCATTCACCTGAGATGCTCTGACCCTCCGCCCAAAACTAGCTTTGCTTTCGTAAAAACTTGGTATACACCTCTGTGGCAAGTGAGAAAGGAGAGCCAAGAACAGCTGCGCCACCAGTGTCACCAGCCTCGCGATGCCGGGCTCTGTGGAATCCTGTCTGGTACCGAAATAGCTCAGTACTTATGATCACAAATGAGGTTCCGTCTCAATACTCAGCGCCAAGCGGCCGTCGGACGTTTACGCTTCAGCACTTCGAGCACTCTGTCGGCCAGTGCCTCAGCCTCCTTCCGGTAGAAGAGGCCAGAGATTCTCGCCAAAGGAAGCACAACATAGACCACGATGCTGCAGATGAGGAGCGTGGCAAGGATGGTCAGGACCGGGAGGCAAAGGTAATATACAGCCGGCGCCAGCATCGCAGCCTTATACCACTTGTCCCCAAAGAGCTTCTGGGCGTGGCACTGCGCCATGAAGCCCACGTTCATGTCGGGGACGATTGAGAAGAGCGCGAAGATGCCATCAATGGCATCGGTGACCTCCGGGGGCCACAGCAGCTGCTTCGTGCAGTTGTCACAGGCCTCCTCTTCGGACGCCTCCTCTTCGGACCATGGGAAGGCTGTCATGGTGGTGAGGTTGACGCTCCTGAGTTCTCACCCCTTTTCCTTCCCCCCGAAGGAAGCAGAAGCCTATGAACGCCTATAGCTAGCGACTCCGTGACTCCACACCTTTGACTCCACACCTTTAACTTAACTTTAACATAGTCACGGCTCAGGAGGACGGAGCAGGCATCCTTCCACCGCTGGAAGATGCGGAGTATTGCCGTGTGGAGCTTCATCTGCTTCGTGGCTCCTTGGGCACTGAGCACCGCCATGATAAAGTTCAGGGATGTGATGCGTCCGAGGTCCAGTAGGATGGACGTGGCGAGCCAGGCCGAGCTCGAATCGGGGCATTGCCTGCAGAACTCCAGGTGCCCACGGCGGCCCCACTGCGCTGGGCACTCGCCGCACAGCCACCCAGTGGAACCTTCGGCGCAGCGATTCTCGCCCTGACACACACTGGCGCCGGCAGCATCCCGAACGAGGCACTGCACTGCCAGGGTCTTGCCGGTCTTGTACCAACCTACCTTGGCTTCAGGCTGTGCATGGCTGCCGTTCTGAAGGAAGCCGCCCGAACAACGTAGCCCGTTGAAGGTGCATGGCGCACATCTGTCCAGCTCGTCCTCATCATTAAGCTGGGCGTAGTGATCTTCATTGCACGAGCAATTGCCCGGCTCGGTGGACGCCGGCGGGCTGTTTGCATTGGACGGGCAGGTTTCGAAGCACTTCTCATTGCTCACGCTTCTCTTGTACCGGCCCGGCTGGCAAGGCTCGCAAGGCGGGGAATCTGAGGGTTCTGAGGGCTGGTGTCCAGGCAGACACTTGCAGTCTGCGCTGGAGGATGATCCACCGGATTCTGTGGTGGAATTGAATGGACAGGGCACGCTTTTTCCTGAGCCGGGGCAGTAAAACCCCTTTGGGCAGTGAGCACACTGATCCTCTCCATACCTGCCCGCTTCACACTTACACTCCTCTGGCTCTGTGGCGCCTGCTCTCTCAGTTGAGGTCCACTCGGGGCACTTTACACAGCGCTCGTTGCTAAGCGCTGACTTGTACTCTCCTAGAGCACAGGCCCTGCAGGCACCTTCATCGTAGCCAAAGCCCGGATTACAGGCGCAGTCCTCCGGCCGCATCAGAGTGACTCCGGGCGGTTTTGCTGCATTCGCTGGGCAAACGACATTCACCGAGGATAACTCTACAGCCGATATCGCACTCACCTCAAACCCTTTCAGGTTCTCGTCCTGCTGTAGGGCAAGGCCAAGCTCATCACGTAAGGCGTTCCAGTCCAGCTCGCTCTGCAAACCTTCTGCATCTTCGGTCGTTGGGTATCGCATGGTGACAGCTGCCATGAGGGACTGAGCCAGGCGTCGACCCAGAAAGCTGGCATTGGTGACATTGGCGAAGTTGAGTTCCACCACACTTGCATCCAGCCGAACCGATGCCAAGATGCTGCTGAGCAGAGCTGCACGGAGCTGCTTCCTCACCGTCTCCTAAGTATGTCTTGAAGCCATCTGTGAGGCTCAAATAGGCTCAACGCGTTCAATTCTTTGCTGAGTTTTAGTTTTGCACTACTTCGACGAAAGTAAGTGTAACGTGGCGCTGAACTCGGAACCAGCCTCATCAGCATCACCTGGTCTTGACAGGGGCAGAAGGGCACGGAAACAAGGCGATTTTGGTGAAACCAACACACACACAAACACGAAACAGAAAATGCATTCCTCGCTCTTGCACAAAGTCACCTTCGGCAAGGCTAAGTGACAGGTTGAACACTATGGCTGGAACCTCTGAAGTGTTGCTCTGAACATCTTTGCTGCTTGAGCTTTCCTCAATGCACGAAGAGTTGGACACGGCTCCTGGCTTGAAAGTCGTGAAATTTGATGGGCAGCGTGCACATTCCGAGCTTCCTGCAGTGGACTTGTAGGTGCTTGTGGGGCAGAGCTTACAGGTGCCAAGCTCTTCAAAATAGCCCCGGTCGCAGAGACAGTCCGTGCTCGCGACCGCATTCACTCCGAGCGTCGTCCCGCCCCCCATGCATGGAAACCTTGCTGTCGTGCCTCCAGGGCAAAAAAAGCCCCGACCACAAGCTCTACATCTCGAGGAAGGCGAATAAAAGCCCTGTGGACACGTCACCTGCAAATGGCCTGCTGCCGCACGGAAGGATGCTAGGCCGCAGCCCGAGTTTTGCGAGCACCAACACAGTTGATAGACACCCGGGGGTGCCTCCCAAAGGATCTCACCCAAAGTGCACTGCAGCGTGGCATTGTCCAGGTAAATGCGCATGGGCTGCCGCAGCAAGGTGAGGTTCTGGAGGTCGCCAAGTTGGATGCTCTCAGAGCATTTGGAGCTTGCAACAAGAATCATTCTCAGCCAAACCCATACCAGACAGCTCGATGATACAAGAGCTGCCCACGGTACAGCGGGCTGTCTGCTCGAAGGGGCCACGAGCTGTCATGAAACCTACGGCGGCCTTGAAGTCTGCTGGCTTATCACAGCTCGTAGAAAGCGGCCGGCAAAAGCAAAGCCGAAAGATCCCAGCCGACGACTGCAGGACCTCCGAGCTGCCAAGAAACCGGAAGCCATCGGCACCCTGAGTGAGAAAATGAAAGTCAGCACCCACAAGCACCGGATTCTGACATGAAAAGCACCCTTGATCTGCAGCCTAGTTGCGACATACTCCGCAATTCCACCGCCAGGAAAGCCGGGCATAGCAGAGCCCGTGCCACAAGCAGCGAGAACCATAAGTCGATCACCTGCCACAGCACCAACAGACTCGAGACCATTGGGAGCACACGGCTGCCCGACGGAGCAGGATACCTCCTGGTTTGTCCGTGGACCCTCCACCCGCAACCTGCCAGCATCCACAGCGAAGTCATCGAAAGCACAAGACCTTTCAGGCCTGTCGCCAGGCCTGTCGCGTGCACACCAGCATAAGCGATATCCATCATTGCTTGCATCGAGGGTGAGCCCATGGTCCCTGAACGCATCTGACACACCAAAGCTCAGAACGAAGGCCACGCTTGATGCATCCTGTTCAACGATCCCGGTGGCATTCCCATTGGCGGGGGAAAGCGAGAGAAGCGAGCCTGACTTGCCGCAGGCAGTCCTCAGCGACACTTCCCCAGTGAGAAATCCCACACCCTGTAAAGGTAATCCGGTGCAGTCTTGGCCTCGCACACAAGTGAAGCTATGGTTCACGAAAGGCCCCACGACTTGAAGACGCCCGGCTTCAATCTGGAAGCTTTCCAAGCTTGTGCAGCTGAGCCCAGGTAGGTCGGCGCACCAGCAAAGACTGTAGTGGCCTCCTGGAGGGGCAAAGTCCATGGCATTCGTATCCCCCTGCCAGGCATACCGTTGGCCTTGATCAGATGCGGGCTGCGACACACCCTCGTTTGCCACATTGGGTACAGGCTGGTTGGCACTGCTACAGCCAGAACTGGAGGTCAGGGCCATACGGTGGCCATCATGTAGCTGGTGCCCTGCGATGCGAACCTCACATGTGCGGCCAGCAGTGCACTGCAGCATCTGCCCAGGAAGTGGACGAATGCATAGATCTTCCTCTGTAGCTGTGTCATTCTTCGTGGTGGATCCTGGGATGCACTGGATGCAGGCTGTGTGTGAGGTTGCTCCGGATGTGTTGCTCCACGTTCCAGCGGCGCATGTCTGGCAATCCGACTCGGCGTTGCCAGCCTCCGGCTTAAACCTGCCCGGAGCACAAGGCTCGCAAACACCTGATACCGAAGCGAAGTAGCCCTGTTCGCAGATGCAGTCCGTGACGCTGCTGGCGGCTTGGGCCCGGGTGATCGTCAATGGTGGGCAAGGTTCCTGGCGGCCACCAAAGCAGAAAAAACCCTGTTCGCAGGGCTGGCAATCAGAATTGGTGGAATCCGGACTCATGTATCCGGCTGGGCAGACGCATTCTCCAGCGGACACTGCACCCTCTCGTAAGGTAGTTCGGACGAGGTTGAGGCCGCCGCCTGCTTCCGGGCAACTTGTGCAGCTTGAAGTACCAACCATCCCCTTGTAGGTGCCCAAAGGGCATCTCCTGCAAAGGTCAGCAGAAGGCTCCATGCCATAGGAGCACCGGCAATCGGCCAAACTTCGGATGGGCCCAGGTGGAAAGTTCCATGTCTCCGGGCAGCTGATGCTTTCGTTGGTGATAGCCGCGCTGTTCGCAGTGATGAGCGCCAACTCACCTGGAAGTTTGATGGCCCAGGCCTCGAAAGGGTCTGCCAGGAACTTGGCATGTGCTTCACGCACGGCCTCCTCCTCATAGCTGGAGAGAGTGTACCTGACGTCCACCGATGTAGCCACAACACTGAGCGATGCTCGCCCAGTCTCTGATTCCACGTATTCCTCTAGCAGAGGTTGTAGCTCCGGAAGACGCCCCGGCTCCACATGAATGTTTCCAGTGAAAGAGAAAATGGCGGCCTCAGCAGGCCTTGGCATCTCAACCAAGCTGGCTGTGAGATCTGTGCAGCTAAAGGCTGGCGATGGGTCCGTGTCCACCCTTCCGCTTGCACAGAAACACTGTAACTCACCGATGGCTCCTGCCGAGGAGGTGGTGTCTTGGGGACATTGGGCGTCGCAGTGCTGGTTGCCCACCAGCTGCTTGAAGGATCCGGCAGGGCAAGGCAAACAGACTTCGAGCTGCGAATCCCAGCCGAAGCCACGGCGACAGCTGCAGTCCTGCTTCGAAGTTGACTCCACAGGTGAAGTGCTCCCGTGCGGGCAATGCTCCAATCTGCCGTCCGGCCCTCCAGGACAGTAAGAGCCTGGAGGGCACGCCTGGCATGTTCTCGACCTCCCCACTAGCTCGTAGGTACCAGGAGGGCAAGAGATCTGCAAGTGCACTGCTGCAGCACGATATTCCGACATTTGGCATTTTGCAGAAGAAGGGCACCAACACAGTTGGACAGTCTCAGGAGAAGCCCCCTGCAACGGCAACAGCCCAAGGTTAAAGGTGATCCTGTCTTCGCCATCAGCACCTTGCTCATGAAAAGCATAGAATGGCTGTGCACTTGGGAAAGTCGCAGACAGACTCGAAGTGCCACATTCCTGCATGGGCAACAGCTCGTCCCCAACTGCAAGTCCAGATCCCTGCAACTCAGAGACCGTGCAGTTAATGGAAAAGAAGCACTGGAAGGCCTGACCCAGCAGAGGCCCAGTAAGTCGGACCAAGCCCACAAGAACCTGGAAGTCGCTGGCAGCCTCGCAGTTTGTGCTGCCGTGAGGCCTGCACCAGCACATGGTGTAGATGCCTGGAACACTTGCGAAGAGGTGCCTGTTGCCCTTGGCATCCTGGAAGACAAAGTCGATTCCATTGGATGTCTCTGCATACTGCCCAGGGAGGCCTGCAAGAAATGGGCCCTGGCCACACTCTGACAGGAAAGCCAAGCGGTCCGCAGAGCCAAGGCTCACACCTTAACAAAACAAAGGGAAACCTTAAAGTAGGCCCCCTGAATCTTCGAGCATCTGTCCATGCGCAACGCCTAAACATCTTAGATTAGATTGAAATCACGAATGCCGAGACGCCGTCCACCCGCACCTCGCAGATCTGCCCCTGCAGGCATCGGGCCTCTTGACCGACATATGGCCCGAGTACACGCACTCGACCGGCTGGAACTACGTGGTCTGCATCTTGGCAAGCGCCCGCACCTGTCAAGAAATGCTTCACACAGCTTCGTCAACAGCCCAGGGCCCTCGCAACTGTCCCCCCTGCCGTGCCTCCACACCAGCACAGCTGGTACCCACGATCGTCTGCGTCAATGGACAAGCCGAAATTCTCGGAAGCGCCAGAAACCCCAAAGCTCAGCTCGAAATCATCGCTGAGGTTTCCAAGGCCGTGTGTGTTGGCAAGAGAGATCTCTAAGCTGCCAGCTCCACAGGTAGCTTTCATGGCTACGGAGTCGCTGGTGGAGAGGCCCTGGCCCTGAAATTTCTTTAGGCCGCTGCTGCAGTCCATGCCGCGAATGCACTCAAAGTCATGGTTCGCGAAAGGCCCCACGACTTCAAGACGCCCTGCTTCAATCTGGAAGCTTTCCAAGCTTGTGCAGCTGAGCCCAGGTAGGTCGGCGCACCAGCAAAGACTGTAGTAGCCTCCCGGAGGGGCGAAGTCCATGGCATTCGTATCCCCCTGCCAGGCATACCGTTGGCCTTGATCAGATGCGGGCTGCGACACGCCCTCGTTTGCCACATTGGGTACAGGCTGGTTGGCACTGCTACAGCCAGAACTGGAGGTCAGGGCCATACTGTGGCCATCATGTAGCTGGTGCCCTGCGATGCGAACCTCACATGTGCGGCCAGCAGTGCACCGCAGCATCTGCCCAGGAAGTGGACGAATGCATAGATCTTCCTCTGTAGCTGTGTCATTCTTCGTGGTGGATCCTGGGATGCACTGGATGCAGGCTGTGTGTGAGGTTGCTCCGGATGTGTTGCTCCACGTTCCAGCGGCGCATGTCTGGCAATCCGACTCGGCGTTGCCAGCCTCCGGCTTAAACCTGCCCGGAGCACAAGGCTCGCAAACACCTGATACCGAAGCGAAGTAGCCCTGTTCGCAGATGCAGTCCGTGACGCTGCTGGCGGCTTGGGCCCGGGTGATCGTCAATGGTGGGCAAGGTTCCTGGCGGCCACCAAAGCAGAAAAAACCCTGTTCGCAGGGCTGGCAATCAGAATTGGTGGAATCCGGACTCATGTATCCGGCTGGGCAGACGCATTCTCCAGCGGACACTGCACCCTCTCGTAAGGTAGTTCGGACGAGGTTGAGGCCGCCGCCTGCTTCCGGGCAACTTGTGCAGCTTGAAGTACCAACCATCCCCTTGTAGGTGCCCAAAGGGCATCTCCTGCAAAGGTCAGCAGAAGGCTCCATGCCATAGGAGCACCGGCAATCGGCCAAACTTCGGATGGGCCCAGGTGGAAAGTTCCATGTCTCCGGGCAGCTGATGCTTTCGTTGGTGATAGCCGCGCTGTTCGCAGTGATGAGCGCCAACTCACCTGGAAGTTTGATGGCCCAGGCCTCGAAAGGGTCTGCCAGGAACTTGGCATGTGCTTCACGCACGGCCTCCTCCTCATAGCTGGAGAGAGTGTACCTGACGTCCACCGATGTAGCCACAACACTGAGCGATGCTCGCCCAGTCTCTGATTCCACGTATTCCTCTAGCAGAGGTTGTAGCTCCGGAAGACGCCCCGGCTCCACATGAATGTTTCCAGTGAAAGAGAAAATGGCGGCCTCAGCAGGCCTTGGCATCTCAACCAAGCTGGCTGTGAGATCTGTGCAGCTAAAGGCTGGCGATGGGTCCGTGTCCACCCTTCCGCTTGCACAGAAACACTGTAACTCACCGATGGCTCCTGCCGAGGAGGTGGTGTCTTGGGGACATTGGGCGTCGCAGTGCTGGTTGCCCACCAGCTGCTTGAAGGATCCGGCAGGGCAAGGCAAACAGACTTCGAGCTGCGAATCCCAGCCGAAGCCACGGCGACAGCTGCAGTCCTGCTTCGAAGTTGACTCCACAGGTGAAGTGCTCCCGTGCGGGCAATGCTCCAATCTGCCGTCCGGCCCTCCAGGACAGTAAGAGCCTGGAGGACATGCCTGGCATGTTCTCGACCTCCCCACTAGCTCGTAGGTACCAGGAGGGCAAGAGATCTGCAAGTGCACTGCTGCAGCACGATATTCCGACATTCGGCATTTTGCAGAAGAAGGGCACCAACACAGTTGGACAGTCTCAGGAGAAGCCCCCTGCAACGGCAACAGCCCAAGGTTAAAGGTGATCTTGTCTGCCAAGTCATCAGCTGCAGTCGGCTCGGAAATCGCATAAAATGGCTGCGCACTTGGGAAAGTTGCAGACAGGCTCGAAGTGCCACATTCCTGCATAGGCAACAGCTCGTCCCCAACTGCAAGGCCTGAACCTTGCAAGCCAGAAATATTGCAGAGAGAGGAGAACTGGCAATGAAAGATCTGACCCAACAGAGGCCCAGTCACTCGAACCAAGCCTGCAAGAACTTGGAAGTCGCTGGCAGCCTCGCAGTTTGTGCTGCTGTGAGGCCTGCACCAACACATGGTGTAGATACCTGGTAAACTTGCGAAGAGGTGGGCACCACTGGCATCCCGAAAGAGAAAGCTCACTGCATCGGATGTCTCGGCATACTGCCCAGGAAGACCTATAAGGAATGGGCCCTGGCCGCACTCGAACAGGAAAGTGAGGCGGTCGCCAGCCAGAAGGCTGACACCTGAATGGAATGGAGCACCGAAAGCATGTCTTTCTTGAATCTTCAGGCATCGGTGCATCATGAGCAACCCCTATACGCGTCCTATGAGTCTGTATCAAGGACGACTTCAAAGACGCAAGGATTCCAAAACCATCCAAGGCACCCTCCAGCTGCACCTGACAAGTTTGCCCCTGCATGCATCTCGCCTCTTGACCAGCAAATGGCCCAAGCACACGCAGCTTGCCGAAAGGAACTGCAAAGTCTTCTGCATTGCAGCTTCCGCGTCCACACCAGCAAAGATCATGTCCAACTTCGTTCGCATTAACGGATACTCGGTAGTCGATTCCCTGCTGCAGGTTCGATGTCCCGAAGGACAATGTCAGGTTAGACTCGTTAAGCGTGTCAGAAGAGTCAGTGATGTTAGCAATGCCATTCCCGTTCTTCGGCGAAACCTGCTGGAAGGCTGCAGATCCACAACCAGCGCTCCGAAGAGCGACCTGGTCTCTGGAGGACAAACCTACACCTTCCAACTTCGGGAGATCTGTGCAGTCTCTGCCGCGCACACACCAGAAGAAGTGAGTGCTCGAAGGCCCCAGCACCTGGAGTTGTGGCAAGCCGGCCAACCACCAACACTGTTTCAAGGACATCCAAGACACATTTCAGGGATATTCCACTGTGACGGGAAACCGCGACTGCGGAAAACCACGGGACGGTATGACCGGGTATGACCGGGTATGACCGGGTATGCCCGGGTATGACCGGGTATGACCGGGTATGCCCGGGTATGACCGGGTATGACCGGGTATGACCGGGTATGACCGGGTATGACCGGGTATGACCGGGTATGCCCGGGTATGCCCGGGTATGACCGGGTATGACCGGGTATGACCGGGTATGCCCGGGTATGACCGGGTATGCCCGGGTATGCCCGGGTATGACCGGGTATGCCCGGGTATGACCGGGTATGACCGGGTATGCCCGGGTATGACCGGGTATGACTCGGGCGTACTCGGGCGTACTCGGGCGTACTCGGGCGTACTCGGGCGTACTCGGGCGTACTCGGGCGTACTCGGGCGTACTCGGGCGCACTCGGGCGCACTCGGGCGTACTCGGGCGTACTCGGGCGTACTCGGGCGTACTCGGGCGTACTCGGCCTGCAGTCGCGGAACGCGGCCGCAATGGGATATTCAAAGACACATGTCCTCACACCTACCTCCAACGCATCGCACATGCTTTCACAGTGAGTAGTAGCAGCCTAGGATAGACTAGGTCTGGCGTCAGAGGTTTCCATTGGGGAAGGCCCCCCTCCCCCTAACATCCCCTACCCTCAGCCTACAAAGACCGCCTAGGCCAGACCCGGGCTCAACATACCCGAAGGCCCCCCAGACCACCCTCAAACCTCAACCCTAAGAGCCCCTGAATAAAAATGACGACTCTGATCCCGAACTCCTTTGCAGACAAGCCTTCAGCGGCCTTTCTAGATTTCAACGCGGACTTTCTCGATTTCAACGCGGAGCACGTACATTCACTAACACGGCCAGTACCAGCCACTATCTCAACCCGATGAACATAAACGGAGTGCTGGAAGTCAAGTGTGAAGGATTCGAGACGAAGCAACTGTAAATGGGGCTAATGGGTTCGTTTTGTTTCAGAGATTCCTCTGTCATTGACAGAGCAAGCTGCTTGGAGCTGACAACCTGCTTCAATAAAGCACACAACGCAAAAGTGTCTGAAAAGGGTGTTTCATGCAAAGCGTGTGTTAACGGAAGCAATTGCGCAAGACCCTCAGATCATGAATGAGTAGCATCACTTACGCGTTGGCCACATCGTGAATTCTTACCTTGCACTCATACAAAATTGAGAGTGCTGCGGCTGGCAAAAATCATGGGTGCCCGTAAGCGCCCGTCAGGGCCAAGCCAGTCTTTAAAAAACAGTGTTGCTACAACGTGTAAGGAAAAGAACAACAATCATCACCAATATCAACATCACCCTGCATGTTCTTCTGGAATGACCAAAAGGAAGAGGCAAAGAATAATAAATAGTTGCTAATCTTGATGCTGGTCCTCGCCTGTAGTTGGCCAACGGGTATCTGGAACAGCTGCAAACTGTCGCAGACGATGCCATGAATGTTAGCACACCAGCAGACCTGGGTATCGTCTTCTATTGCCATCTGGCTTCCAAGTCAATGTTTGCTCAACAAGCTTAATCCCCCTTAACGCAATTACGGACCTGGGTTAGATGTGCCAAGGGCAATGCAACTAGACACGTGTTCATGCCTGCATCACGCAGCACCCGCCTGGTACGCGCCGCCCTCTGGTGCAAACTCGGACCCCGTGCTCCCCCAGACATACACGCCCTCGCTGGCATCTCTGGATGCTCCCTCGTTGGGAAGGTTTGATACCGTCCGAAGCGGACCCTGACAGCTGTCAGACTCTGTGAGAGCCAGGCGATGTCCATCTTGCAGGCTAAATCCGCTGATTGTCACGGAGCAAGGAATGCCAGATGTGCACTGAAGATCTAGACCATCCTGTGGGCGAATGCACATGGTCGCATTCGTGGCTCCAACTCCTGGTGTGGTGGAACCTGGAAAGTCAGAATTGCATGGATGACACGTGTTCAGTACCTTGGTGAAGGTGCCCAAAGGGCATGGCTGGCATGCTCCGTTCGCTGCAACGTAGAACCCATGTTGGCACGAAACCTGCATCAAGCTTCTTGACACGCAGTCTTGGGCTTGCAGAGGTTCAGACTTGCTACGGAATGCAAAGGAAGACTTGGAGAAGCAAGGGATGTTGAGCAATGCGATTAAGAAAGAGCCCCCAGGCCTATGGTTTATACATATATATTTTTTTTTGAAATCATACCACCCCGCACTAGAGGCATGCATGCCAAGGAGACTACAGTTGGAAGCGAGTTAAGGGAATCGGATACAGAAGACCCGCCGCAGAGTGGCAGTACTAAGGTGGCTTCTCTCTGTACACAACGGGCCTCGGGAGCCAAGACATACAGGTCATTCCTCTTACCTCAGCTCCGATGCAGACATAGTGCCTTTCATCACATCTGCGGCTGTCCCCAGCACCGTCACTGCCGGGGCCCCTGCCGAAATCGTTCTCTCCACCAAAAAGGTACAGAGTTTGGACAGCTTCCACCCAGGCCGCTCCAATCCCGCTTGAAAAGCTGCGCTCGCTCGGAGAATCAGGCAACGCCAGCTGAGACCACCTGTTTGCCTGGCCACAGAGAACTTTTTTCTACTACCTTCAACCTCAAGACACTCTCGAGAGCCAGAACACGATCGTCAGTTTGCTATGGTGATGACAACGACCCGAACACCTGCTCTGGGCCAGCTTTTTTTTCTTTTTTTGGGGGGGGGGGCCTCTCCCCTGCTTCATGCGTCAGACTCGGTAAGAAACGCAGCATGACTGCACAAGTCCAATCGAAGTCCTCCCTCCATGCCTGGCGGCTGTAGAAGTACAGGTCGTTCAAATAATACGGTCTAGAAACTCGCCCGCCAAAGACATACAGCCCGTCAGGCGTCTCGGCCCAGACGGCTGCATGATCGGTACGGCCGCCGACAGAATCACCATCCGGGGTCACCAGCTGCCATGCATTTGCCTCCCATGAGCTCTGAAACTGCCAAACGCGCATGGTGGAACCTCTAGCATGATAAGGAGCATTCTCAGGCATTCACACAGAAATTCATGAGTCAACATCCTGGTGGTTAAAAACACCGCATGATTCTGGAGAATTTGGAGCAGGGTTGACACCAGGAACGCAACGCAACACATGCCGGGTCCTATGTGTGGCTTGCCTGCATTCGTCGCTGTGATAGCATGCGTATATGGTTGCTTTCAAACTTCAAATGCTACAACAGCGCAAATATCGTAAATCAGTATTGCTACTTTGTGCAAGGTCATTCGGTTCCGTTGCTGGACTTGGCTTTCATTGCATCTACAGGTGCTGTCTGCTGTCATCACCTGTCTACACGATTTGTGCCACCTTGTCATCAGTCAGGACACCAAGTTGGTTCCAGAACGAAGCTACTGGAGCCCCGAAAACTTGGCCTTCGTACATCCCCACGTTTCACCCGACATCACTCGATGTTTCAGCGGATGAGCTGTTAGGCGTTTACTAGCATCCGAAAGTACGTAGGCCTTCATACTGCACTGGGTGCATGGAATCGTGCCTGCCGGCTGTAGAAGTAGAGGTCGCTCATAAAGCCTCAGCTCCAACAACAGGATCAGGAGCCTAAGCCTAAACCTATGGGCAAATCCCAAGGCGAGGACCGCGGCGCGAATTCCAGCCACCAAGGCCGTAGATCCCGTAGGCAGCTTCACTCCAACCACCCCGGAATCCGCAGCATTCTGGTGCTTCGCCGCCGGTTTCAAGATATTGCCAGGTGTTCGCCTCATGGCACGGCTTTGCTTTGTGGTCTTGGGAAATCCATCCCCCACATGTTCTTGCACAAGTTGTCTCCTGTCATTTCTCGTCACTCCTTGGCGCTCTACTTGTCTCGTTTTTCCTTTCTTCATCTTCATCATTGCTTTTCCTCTGCATTCTCACTGGTCTTCCTCTATTTGATTCAAGACGGCGCTGACAATGCACATGCCGTGTAGGAGAGAGATATGGCCTCTTGGGTGTAGAAGTAGACATGCTCCAGCGGGCCTGGCACTCTGCACTCTGCTCCCAATGCCATGAGATGCAGAAGAAGCTCCGTCGGCGAGACCGTTTCCGGAAGAGTAGACGACATAAATGCCGTTGTCAGCATGGCTCCAAAAAGCTAAACCCGAGCGCGCACTCGTCAGCAGATGCCATGCGTTCGCCTGGAGAGCAGTTAAAGAGCTCAGCTTTTCGCTCAGAGTTCTCTGTGTCTCAAAGAGTGGCGAAAGGGTCTTAAAGGATTTTGATGAAAGTAGAGTGCGGTTGTGAGACAACTGCGCCTGGCGACTGTAGAAGAAGAGACTCGAACCTCAGGGAGAAAGAAGCACAATCTCAGATGTCACTCTCAGATCAAAGGCAGCAGAGCCAGTCTCTTTGTTCAAAAAAGCTAGGACCTCTGCATATTCCATAGAGCCCATCAGTGCCAGCACTCACAACAGCACATCCACCACTATCGCTGAGGGGGATGTCGGCAAGTTTCTCCCACACGTTCGCCTTGCAGCACACTTCGCAGCTTTGATTTGCCCGTTTCCCCCTCGCCCGGTGTATAGCATAGCTGCTCCTTACCAAGCAGCTGCAAACAGGGGCATAACATTCCCAGCCTCAGGATCATAGAAGTGGAGGTCCTGGAAACGGCCTCATTCCGCAGAGCCGGCAACACAGCATAACACAGCATAACACAGCATGCACGCAACAGTTTGAGGCCATGGCCGTGGCTGCTGTTGGGATTGCCGAGGCCGCCGAAAACGTAAAGCCCTTCATGGAACGTGCTCCATACAGTGTGATGTTGTGTGCGACTATAAGGGATGTCGCCGCCGGGATGAAGCTGCCGCCATTCAGGCGCCGAGCTGGGCGATGCCTCCTTCATCACTGCAATAGAACCCACATGCAAGAGAATGGGGTATCAGCTTGCCCTTGGAACCTCAAACATATGCACCATGATTGACACACCCACCAACAGATGGGTTCTATATTGCAAATAAGCACGGGCAGCAGCTGGAAGGACGTTAGAATGACGTGGGACTGGACATAATGTTTCACGGCTGGCAGGACAACCCTCATTCTGCATCGCGTCCATCAACCAACGCGATAAAAGCATTTTCGGTCACAGCTTGATGGGGACAGCATAATGAAGCCTCTAAACTCCTGCGAGCTGCCTGGGGGCACGTAGGGCCTGTAGGGATGTTAAAAATGACTCCTTGAAGTTCTCATGAAAATCGCCCTGAGCTTCTTTGAGCCCGCATAAGCGAAAGTCAAATTGCATCCAATTCCTTTGTTGGCTGATGTAAAACAACTCTAAACTTTTTTGAACCCTAAACTCTACAAATCCTGAAGCCAGATTATTTCAGAGACGGACCCCAGCAGCGTAAGGACTGAAGCAAAAGACTTCTACAGAGGCGAATTCTGGTACGTAGCGTCGGTTTGTACAGCTCCGTTTGAATGTGTATCTCTCCTCTCGTGCACATTTCCCGCTCCCTCTCCCTTTCCTTCTCCCTCTCCCCCTCCCTCTCCCTCTCCTTCTCCTGCTCCCTCTCCTCTTCCCCTCCTCCTCCCTCTCCCTCTTCTCCTTCTTCTTCAGGGCCCCAAAGACGCCCGCTCACATGTCCTAGTGCATCTCTCTTTCATTTCCCGCGTATCTACCTCATCAATTCCTTTCAGTTTCTCTCTCATCCTTATCCTTCATCTCCATCTACCACATCTCTCATCTTCTTCTCGTAACTCTCGCTCTCTCTCTCTCTCTCTCTGCATGTCATCTCTCTATCTTCTTAGTCTCTTGTCCTCTCGCATCGTGTGTTTTTCTCCTACCAAGCCCCATAAGATGCACGCATTCCCAGCTAAATAAGAAATTACCCGAGGTCATGCCGGAACTGAGCGGCCGCCATTCACTTTCACTCGCCGGTATCTCCTCCATGCCATCACTGCAACAGCCGGCTTGCAAGAGAGAATGGCACGCACGCGCATACGTACTACACATGCATGCGCACGCGTGGCGCGACTTGCATGCATGCACGTGCGTGAGCGTGGGGGAGAAAATACTGACTGTCGAGATGCATCTTCTACCGAAGCATGGTCGGCCACGCATGGCCCGCCGACTGCCACTCCGCGTCAGTAGGCTGCGTTTCAGGTAGAGGTCTGGGACAAGCGTAAACATGTCACCAGAAAATATAGTCACAGTCCAGCAGCACGTGCAAAAAACAAACAACCAAGTAAGGTTTTTTCGGACACATCAGGAAACTTGGGAGACCCATCCGACCCAGGGAGAACTGCTGTTGGTTGAAAACTCTAAGAACACTGTACGACTATAAGGACGCAGGCTACAAGAACATGTCAGGTATTGAACGAGTCCTATGGGGAGCTGGCTTCTACTTAAGCGATGTTCCTAACTTCTGACGCAGCTACTGTCAAGGCCGCATGGCGGCCAACCTCCACCAGCGGAGTGTGGCGGCCACAGAAGTGGAGGTCATTCACGGCGCCTCAGGCCGAGCGCCACGGCTCCCCGCGTCCCCACACGGCAGCCGAGGCCGGGGCCATCTGTTGTGGGCCCGCCGAAGACGTACATGCCATCGGCAGCTTCGCTCCAAACCAAGGAGTTCCCGCTCCGTTCTGCCGGGGCCGAGCCGCTGGGGCTCAGGAGCCCCCAGCTGTTGGCCTGGCGAGCAGCAGTCCCCAGCTCCGTGGACTTATGAACAGCGATGAACAGCGATGAACGGGATATGAACGGAGGCATGCTGCATGCTGAATCATGATGGTGCGTCGATGTGTCCGAAAGTCCGACACGAACCACCAGCTGCCCCATCCTGCCACATTCACACCTGACACTCGTAGAGCCGCCGAGGGTACCCGACGCCGATTGCCGTCTCACGACGGTCCACGACGGTCCACGACAGACCGCGACAGACCACAAAACCACCCCCAGACAGGCCACCCAGTTCCATAAAGATCCTGAATTCGTGAGCCTCAAAATTCCCATGTGAACTTCGGGCTATTCACTATTCACCACCAGCGGAGCCTGGCGGCCGTAGAAGTGGAGGTCATTCAGAAAGCGGCCGACGCCGCTCTCGTCAGCGCCCCAGCCACCGAAGACGTACATGCCATCGGCAGCTTCGCTCCAGGTAACCACAATATGAGCTCGATGTTCAGGGGCCGAGCCGCTGGGGGTCAGGGTCACCCAGCTGTTGGCCTGGCGAGCAGCAGCCCCCAAACCTACCGAACTGACAAGAACACCAACCTCGCTTTCTGCTCAGGTTCTTGGGCTTTGGCCATAGGCCCTTAGGCACTGTCAAGGCCGGCGTGGCGCCCAACGTCCTCTTTCCTTCCCCTTGAGATTCACTACCAGCGGAGCCTGGCGGCCGTAGAAGTGGAGGTCATTCAGGCGGCCTCGGGGGGCGGAGGCTTGGAACATCTTTAGTTGGGGGGGGGGGGACCCACCCCCACCCCGAAGCCCATTAACAAAATAAACGACAACTCTTGCAAGCTCCAAGGAGCTAGCTTTCGTGACACCGCAATAATAAGTGCGTTCTCCCGACAGCGGCCGAGGCCGTCGCTGTGCATGCCGCCAGTGCCCCAGCCGCCGAAGACGTACATGCCGTCGGCAGCGGCGCTCCAGGTTACACTGTGGGAGCGCCGTTTTACGGGGGCCGAGCCGGTGGGGCTCAGGAGCACCCAGCTGTTGGCCTGGCGAGCAGCAGTCCCCAGCTCCGTGGACTTATGAACAGCGATGAACAGCGATGAACGGCGATGAACGGCGATGAACTGGATATGAACGGCCCGAACGATGGTATTGAGCCAGCAAACTGGAAGAGGCAACGGGGGCCCAAGCGCAAGTGCCTGCCCAGGATCCCCCAACACAAAGCATTGCTTACTGCACCCAGACTTATCGTCTTCGCACCGGACATCTTGAGTTCCATGGCGGAAGCGACAGCCCTCCTAATTCGCCTCGGCTTCCTGCCGAGAAGTGTCTGGAACAAGCAGACCCGGATCGGGCCTCCTTCCCCTTCACCAACCGCTGCAAACCCATGCCGTGGGGGGTCATAGACGGGGCGCGACCCCCTGAGAGTTTCATGGGAACGCCCCTGAGACCCCCCTCCGAGACCTCCTGGACCTGGGCCCTGCAACCCTTCCATTCTTCCCCCCCAAAACCCCCTCCCCGCCTGCAAACGCAAGCGTTTACAATTATAATTATTGGTCCTAATTTCGTCACGCATCGGCAAGACGGAAGTGTTTGCCCCCCCCCCCCCCCGCATGCAACAGATCACATAGCCGCAAAAACGATCTCCGACACTTCTTCTTGACTTATTTGACTAGGAGGAGCTGATCCGCTACATGAGGCATGCTGAATCATGATGGTGCGTCGATGTGTCCGAAAGTCCGACACTAACCACCAGCTGCCCTATCCTGCCACATTCACACCTGACACTCGTAGAGTCGCCGAGGGTACCCGACGCCGACGTCCACTTTCTGTTGGCCTATGGTGCAAACATCGCGCGCCACTTGCCGTCTCACGACGGTCCACGACAGACCGCGACAGACCACGAAACCACCCAGTTCCATGCAGATCCTGACTTCGTGAGCAGGGCCTACCAAAAATGACTGAAACTTTTGAAATCAACCCGCAAAGGTCCCCGGCTACATGTAGCTTTCTCCATCGAAAGCCAGCTTCAGAGTGCTTCGGCGTTCAATCGCCGTCGAAAGAGCGACGCCCCGGCACGGCGGCCAAGATGAAGTGGCTTTGCGGATCTGCCCTTTTCCCTTGATTCACCACCTGGGTTTAGGCTTTAGGATTTAGGGTTTAGGCTTTAGGGTTTAGGGTCAGCGGAGCCTGGCGGTCGTAGAAGTGCAGGTCGTTCAAGTAGCCTCAGGCGAAGCGTCCCGGCTCCCAAGAACCGCACATGGCTTTTGCTTCCTCCGAGGCCGCCGCCGTTGTCAGCCGCCCATCCGCCGAACACGTACATGCCATCAGCGGCTTCGCTCCAGGTCATGCCGAACTGCTCCCGGACTTCGGGGGCCGAGCCGCTGGGGGTCAGGGTCACCCAGCTGTTGGCCTGGCGAGCAGCAGTCCCCAAACCTGCCGAACTGTAAGAACACTGGACGCAACCTCGCTTTCTGCGTTCTTGGGCTTTGGCCTTAGGCCCTTAGGCACTGTCAAGGCCGGCGTGGCGCCCAACCTCCTCTTTCCTTCCCCTTGAGATTCACTACCAGCGGAGCCTGGCGGCCGTAGAAGTGGAGGTCATTCAGGCGGCCTCGGGCCGGGCGTCGCTCCCCAAATCCCCACGGCGTTAGAACATGCGATCTCCCGACAGCGGCCGAGGCCGTCGCTGCTGCCGTCCACGCCGCCGAAAACGTACATGCCGTCGGCAGCGGCGCTCCAGACCGCGCCGTGGTCTGAGCGGGCTGCCGGGGCCGAGCCGCTGGGGCTCAGGAGCACCCAGCTGTTGGCCTGGCGAGCAGCAGTCCCCAGCTCCGTGGACTTATGAACAGCGATGAACAGCGATGAACGGCGATGAACGGCGATGAACTGGATATGAACGGCCCGAACGATGGTATTGAGCCTAGCAAACTGGAAGAGGCAACGGGGGCCCAAGACGCAAGTGCCTGCCCAGGATCCCCCAACACAAAGCATTGCTTACTGCACCCAGCGCGTGACTTATAGTCTTCGCACGGGACATCTTGAGTTCCATGGCGGAAGCGACAGCCCTCCCAGAAGTGTATAGTCCATCCTTCTAATTTTGTAGGTATGGGCCCTCCCCTCTGAACGGGAGATGAACGGCACGCATGATGGCATCGGTCCAAGACGGAAGTGTTTGCCCCCCCCCCCCCCCGCATGCAACAGATCACATAGCCGCAAAAACGATCTCCGACACTTCTTCTTGACTTATCTGACTAGGAGGAGCTGATCCGCTACATCAGGCATGCTGAATCATGATGGTGCGTCGATGTGTCCGAAAGTCCGACACGAACCACCATCCTGCCCCATCCTGCCACATTCACACCTGACACTCGTAGAGTCGCAGAGGGTGCCCGACGCCGATGTCTTGGATTTGCGGCATGGCTTTACTGCTCCACTTTCTGTTGGCCTATGGTGCACACATCGCGCGCCACTTGCCGTCTCACGACGGTCCACGACAGACCGCGACAGACCACCAAACCGCCCCCAGACAGAAAGGCCAACCAGTTCCATGCGGATCCTGAATTCGTGAGCCTCAGAATTCCCATGTGAACTTCGGGCTTTTCACTATTCACCACCAGCGGAGCCTGGCGGTCATAGAAGTGGAGGTCATTCCGAACAACTCCTGGGCATGGCTCCCCAAATCCCCACACGGCTTTAAAAATGCGTAGTTCCGAAAGCGCCCGAGGCCGTCGCTGCTGTCGTCCAAGCCACCGAAAACGTACATGCCGTCGGCAGCGGCGCTCCAGGCCGCCCCGTGTTTCCAACGGGCTGGGCCGGGGCTCAGCTCGATCCACTCTTCGGCCTGGCGAGGGTCCAGCACGAGGGGAAGGCGCAGCCGTGACAGGTTCGGATTTGGCCTGCGCCAGAGCCCAGAGCACAAGCCTGAGTGCAAGCGCAAAGGGACGAATGGCCAAGGCGGCCAAAGAGATGTTCTGAGCTTTTCGTAGGAGGATCGCTGCTCAAAATTGATTAAGCTTTGATGGCCAAGCGGCACGCAAAACTTCATCACGAGCCTGGGCCTCCCCCAGTGGACGTTGCACAAAAGGAACTGGTCAGCGCTAGATGGTGCCACGACTCTGAACAACGATTGAAATGAGTTGATTCTCTAAGGCTCCGCATTCTCTCACTCCCTCCTAGTCTCCCTGCCACATTCATATCATCTTAATGTCTTGATGATCGTCTTCCAAGGGAGGAGAGAAGCATGTTCCTCGTTCTCATTCCTTTTCCATCGTTTTCGAGTTTTCGGCTTCCCTTGTCTTCTTCTTCAGGCCTGCCCCCTTCTGCTTCCTACTCCCGCACCATGCCGTCCTCCTGCAGTTCAGGGATGGAGAAATGGCCGGAAGATGCCGGAAGTTTCTTGTACTCCGACCCGCTGATTTTCCGCACAGATCCTTGTATAACCTGGCACTCCCATCAGTTTATGCCAGTTTCACACTTATCAGACCGACGCGCGCTGTCAAGCCAACGCCTACTTACGCGTCAGTGCCCAGCCTTGCAGGTTTCTTTTCCCCCTGCTGCCCTGGATCTCCTATCTTTGTCCCTCTTCTCCTCTCTGTCTCTCTCTTTATCTTGTTCGCCTGTCCTCTGCCAGCTCCTTGAACTGTCAAAGGGGAAATGGTAGCCTGATCTTTGAGCCGCAAGCTGCGCCAAGGTGTGAACATCAGCCAATACGAGGCTGAGGTACTAATGTGGCGGCCGGTGAACATGCAGCGCCAGTGCAGCGCTGGTGCCCTCTTGTATCCTCATTTCCTGAGAAGAGTAAAGCATGCCACAGGCCACTGGCTCACTGGTGGTGATGGCCGCAAGGCTACCCCAAAAAGCGAAGGCTGTTCGCAGCTTCTGAAGTAAGCTAATTTGGAAGATTAAGATTCGAGGCTTTCCCTGCCGCAAAACATCTCCCCAAGACTACGCAGCAATATATGTATGAACTCCGGCTCAAACGGGAGTTGGAAGTCTTGCATTCTCTTGCACACTGCCTTGTCTGAAGACCCAGGAGCTTGTGACCGGGCATGCTTTGTTGACGATGTGGAAACGCCAGAGATCCTGCCGCTTCCTCCGCAAGGGGCCCGAGCCGGCATGGATCCAAATGCAGCCAGAGGCCACCACCGCCACATGCATGTAGCGTGGTGGGGGTGTCAACTCTTGACTCTGCATCTGGGTCCACTTTCGGGTCTGAAGATCAAAGCGCCACAACTCCTCAAGCTCCGTGTCGCCACTGTAGCCGCCGTGAATCTAAATTGCTTCTTTATCTTCACACTCATCTTCATGGTACAAAGCTACATGGTTCATGCGTGCGCTTGGCCTCGGATTGGAATTGGAGCTTTCATTGCTCCATTTTTCGGTCCGGAGGTCGAAGTGCCAGAATTCCGCCAGCACGCCAACGCCATAGCTGTGACCTGCCCAAGTGAGCTGAGAAAACAAGGCTTTCTACAGACAAATCCGGGACCAAACAATGTGTGCCAACACGCGTTAAACTGATCAGAAGACAACAGGCGCCAACAGAAGTCAGTCAGGTGAACAAGCATCGTTCACGACAAGTCCCCCCCGCCTCCGTGCATCCAAATGTCCCTGGCGCTGTTCACCACGGCTTGCTCCTGGCGCGGTGTCGGCTGCAGCCCATGGCACAAGGCGCACAGGGCGACCCAAACATGGCGACTTTGTGATCCCATCCTGACACTACCCATAAGCCAACACCTGCTCGCGAATGGGGGGTGCGCCGGCGAAGGGGAGCCGAGGTGTGGCCCCCCCCCCCAAGTAGGTACCGAGAGGAGGCCTGCAAAAACATGAGGGCCCCAGACATCTCAAAAGCATGGGTTCTGGAGCAGCGGTTGTTTGTGCCTGCAATCTTCGCTGCGCCAAAAGCCACCCAGCTGACATATCATTGCTGAGCCCTCGGCAGCACCCCTCGCAAACTGCAGAAGAATATTAGAAGAATCATGCTAGTCAAGCTGGATAAAGCCAGATGATGGAAGGAGTGCTGCTGAGATCTCTGCGCTCGCATATTTGCAACCCAGCAAGGTTCATATATCGCAGAGGCTGGGTTCTCTTTTCGGGTGCAATTACAAGCAGGTGGCCGACTGCAAGGATATGCAAAGCATAGCTATGACTAACTTTGCTGTATTGCTCCCTTCACTCCTCCCTTCACACCTCCCTTATCGGAACAACCCTTACTAGTGGAAGAAGTTCCATGATCTGACGTTGATTTCTATTGGGAGATAGGGTTGGCCTCACTTTCCAGGGATGGACTGAACGCTCCGCCTCCACTTCAGTCTGTTCGCATAGCATGCCAACCCCAAGGTTGGAGACAATCGAAACTTCAGAGGTGGCCTGCGCGCAAAATTACTGCGATGTTTGCAATTCGTCCGATGACTTCACAGAGCGCGACCTAGGGGCCAAGATGGATAGATGGGCAAACCGCCTCTGCTGGAAGGTCATTTCTTCCGGATTGGCTAACGGCCATTCCGCCCCTCCGGGCAGTTGAAAGGACCATTGAGCTTGGTGAAACCTTCCCCGTTGAGCTGGGTGCATCGGCTGGTGTCCCAGGCTCTTCGAGCTCAGCATCTGCAATTTTCTGTGCAGAGCATTTGGCGTTGCATATGAGAGCAGGATGCCGTGACAGGGCATCGCGGCTGGAAAGCATAAGCCTTCATTTTCGGTGGCTGCGAGGGTCACCCTGCTGAGAAGGACTAGCCTGCCCAGTTAGGCCTGGATGAGTTCTGTCAGTTCTGTGTTTTCAGGGCATTGATCTGCCCTGCTAGCCTGGTTGCTTTCCATTGAGACGGCTTTGGGGTTGAACGGGACCTCATCCGTCGGGCCAGGCTTTGTGCTGTTGGACTGCCGCTTTGGACTGTCATTGCTCGGGCGGCTCTTAAGACCATGTTGGTGCTCCGCTCTCTCTGAATTTCAGGGCGAGTGCCACAGTGCGAGCGTGTGCTACAGCTTTTAAGAACTTACGATTTCAGGCTAATTATGTATCACTACGATAGCTAATGCTACCATGCTTTAGCATTCTTGCCACATCACTGTCCTCCAGAACCCTAAACCGAACCATAAACCTCCAAATTCGCCCTGGCCCCAGCAATGTTTTAGTCTGGTTGACATGGTTCAGGCAGTACCTCAGGGTCATGAAGAATGAAATTCAGATTCAGGGCTATAGGGCTAGGGTCATCATAAGAACCAATTAGTCATAACGTTTGTTTTGCACTTGGCAAGACCCTTCTGGGGTATGTCACGGTATGTCCATGCGTGCACAACCCGGCAATTCTTGAGGAGCTAGCCAGCCAGCGACTCAGAGCGCTCTCATAGCAAGCTGCACTAAGCCTGGCTGCATGGTCTATTCGAGTCTATTTCAGTCCGCTGAGGACCGCGGGAAGGTGCAAAAAGCCAGAAAGCCCGCTAGCACAGTCATTCAGTCATTAAGCTGAAGGAGATAAAGATTCCAAACACGCTGGACCCCGCTATTCTAGCAAACTATAGAACCTGGCATAGGTCCATATCGTAGCATATCGCAGCGTCCCAGCTGGACCCCGGTAGGATGCTGCATCAAACAGCCTGCTATAGGGTACTGCATACACTCCGCACAAAGGCCGCCCTGGAAGAAACCCCTCCTGAGACCCCGCTTTGCACTTTGCACCTGCCATGATGGCAGCTCCGCATTGTGCAGGATAGGAAATATGCAAACGGTAGCTGTTTCGGTTTCAGAGGAGACAGGGGTCTGGATTTGGAATGTCTACACTTGTATCACTCTTCGCAGGTAGACATCGACATACCCCCCTTTCACCGAGTCGAACTGTAGGCAAAGGATTCACAACCCTGGAAGGAGCACTGGCCGAACTATCTGCTCGGCGGGATTCTGGTGATGAACATTGACAATTCCGACTGCCGTGCGGCAGGAAACCGTCGAAGGAACTATGGTGTCCATCTGCTTCGCAGATGTGCGACGCTTGTCCACG